CACAGATGACCAGTAATAATGCGGAGTCCGTGAATGCCCTCTTTAGACACGCGCGTAGGTTGCCAGTAACTGCTTTATTGGACCATATCAGAGGTTAATGCATTCTGCCTTCCATCCCGGACCTTATCCCGGATCGTTTCGTTCTTGGATGAAAGGCAGAGAATATGGCTTCATTTTCTGCCTTTCATCTCGGAGGTGAAATGGTCCGGGATAAGGTCTGGGATGGAAGGCTCATGTAGCCACTTCGAATTCAATCCCGGATTCAATCCCGGACTCTATCCCGAACCAAAATCATCCGGGATTGAATACGGGATTGAATCAGAGATCGATTTTTTCCCCAAATTTCTCAGTCCTGCAAGCACAATATGAAAATGACCATAGATCTACATGGCTGCTTCAGATAGCGCCGATAATGATATCAGAACAACAAATGTTTCTAAAAATTTTGTTATAATCTACCCGACCACTAACCTTGCGATCGATGACTTCGTAGGGCGAAACAATGGAAGAGAAACGTCCGAGATAACTTCGTAAGGTCCGGGATGGATGAATCGTCCAACGTCCGAGATAACGTTCAATCCGGGATGGGGCTTAGGGTTTTAGGACAAAGGAAACAAACGTTCGAGATGGGGTTTCGTTGGGCCAGGAAACGTTCGAGACGGGGATTAGGATTTTACTTGGAGAGAGTTCCCTTCATTTTTAAACATGAGGGTACTATGGTAAATTGGCTTGGGGAGAGGTTCAAAATTAAGTAGAGGTAGGATCAAAAATTAGGTTGTTTTAAAAGGGGTTCATTTATCCAATTTGAACTATTGGTGGGGTCAAAAACCCCAATTTCCCTTCAATTATTTGTTAAAGTCCACTGGACATGGACTAGCTTTCTTCGACAAAGATGGGCCTTCTCGGAATGACTTTCCAGTAACGAGTTCAATGACAAAAGCCCACGATTGGGCCTAATGGCTCTGCACGACGAGCCTAAATAATTGGGCTTATTTGCTAATAACGAAAGCCCAGTTGTAGTTGTTATGGGCCCAACCCAACCTCAAGCATTTGATCTCGGCCGTTCGATGAATAGAATAATCTCAGCCCTTGCTTTCATACTTTTATAAACAGCCCTTCTCCATGAAACCCTAGTCTTCATCGGCTTAAAATCACATTCTCATCCACTGAACTGCCGATCGCAGCTTTCCAGCACCTCCGAGTATGCTTCTCTAACTACAATGTTTCGCCCGTTTCTCTTTGCTATTACTTCTTAATACTCTGTTTTTCATTTCATTCTTTCGGAATTTTTGAATTTTAGTTCTCTTTTTTTACTTTTACGAATCGTTCCATGTTAATAATTGTTAAGTTTAGTGGCCCTATTGGACGATGGTGATAGTTAATATCGTATCTGATCGGCTTTGGCATTGTGAAGCATTTGTGTTATTTGATCGATTCTGTTAATGTATGTTTATGTGTGGGGTGGAGGCCAAGATTTATGGGTTCAAATTCTTATTTTTCTAATGCGAGGAATCTAATAAGTTTTCGACTTCCATATTTAAGTCTTCTAGTCTTGTGGGTTTCCTGGGATGCTGGGATACTATGATTTTCTATTTTAACAATTTGTTAGTTGTCCTTTATTGTTTTACGCTCTCTGAGGGGTTTTTTTTTTCTCCTTATGTCGTTGTCTTGTTAAGCTAGATTTCTCAAGATGTATACGGCCCTGAAAAAGATCCACAAGGACAAGGATGTTGAACCTTCTGAATTCGAGGAGTCTGTTGCTCAGGTTGTTTGAGTAAAGATCAGAAATCTTAATGTTTATTCAATTGTCTTTTATTATCTGCATTTCTGATGTTTGCAAAATTTTTCAGGCATTCTTTGATTTGGAAAACACGAATTCGGAGCTGAAAAGTGACCTGAAGGATCTGTACATTAATTCAGCACTGTAAGTGTACTTGGTTGACATTTAAATGACTTGTTTTTATCACAATGAGCAGTATGTTATTTCTCAATTCTCATTATGCTAACATTGATGTCTTATGCATTGCAGTCAAGTTGACGTTTCTGGAAACAGGAAGGCTGTTGTTATCTATGTTCCCTTTAGATTGAGGAAGGCTTTCCGCAAGATTCAGTTGAGGCTTGTTCGTGAGCTAGAAAAGAAATTCAGCGGAAAGGTAATGAAAGGTGTATTTTTGCTTTTGTAATTTCTCTTTTAGTTCTTCAATGGAGCAGCATCAAGTTTCTAGTGTTTATCGTCAGCTAACTTGCTAGATGATATTAGTGACATTTGGATAATTATTTTTAGGTTCAAGAGAGATGTTTTGCAAATTTCTATATTGTCTTTTATGTATGTTATTTCATGCAACTGAATGACCTCTTGCTTTACCCTACGTATTATTCATGACATAGTAAAAATTTATTAATAAGCAGCTTAGTTAGACATCAATTATTAGAGTGATGCTATTTCTCCATGATATTCTCTTGTTTATGGATAGAGATGGACGTGTATACAAGTTGGTCATATTTAAGGTGTGTTTTCTTGCTTCAATTTCTTATGTGATTGTATGTCAGGATGTTATTCTGATTGCTAACCGGAGAATCTTGAGACCTCCAAAGAAAGGGTCAGCTGTTCAAAGGCCTCGCACTCGTACTCTCACTTCTGTGCATGAAGCAATGCTAGAAGACATTGTTTTGCCCGCCGAGATTGTTGGGAAACGGATCAGATACAGGGTTGATGGATCAAAAATCATGAAGGTAAATGCATTAGAAGATATTTTCCTTATTTCATCCACGTAGCTAGTATGAAAATGGAAAGATGTGTGTTATTTTTTTTTATAATCACATTTTCTCAGTAGATTTTTAGATTAAACTGTTAAGATATCTATTTTACTTCATCTACATAATTCTATTTATTGGAAGGCTCGACAAATACTATCCTATCATCTGCCTTTACTGTTTAGTCTGTTGCCAAACTGAATTAAAAACCAATGCTGAAACCTACTGCTTGAAACTTTGAGCCAGCCAACTAGTTTTTTATTTTTGAATTTTAAACTCCTCAAACCTTCCAATGTATGTTGCTCAATTCAACCAAACCGTTCTTTTCTCCGAGTTTTTGCTTCCATCCCCCTATTACTGTTGTCAGCCACACTTGTGTCTCATGGTGGTGAATTATTATCCCCTACTTGCTTACTGTGTATCTTCTATTACAAGTCTTCTGACCCGTTGGATCTTCTTGGGGCAGGTTTACTTGGACCCTAAGGAGCGGAACAACACCGAGTACAAGTTGGAGAGTTTTGCTGCAGTTTACAGGAAGCTTTCTGGTAAAGATGTTGCCTTTGAGTTCCCTATTACAGAGGCATAAACTCCTTATCCAATGTGATACCGTTTTAGATGCATTTAGTTGGAAGTCATTCAAATTTTTGATGTTGAGAACGTTTGAGTGAAGTATTAGATTCTGTTTTATGATTTTTATTTTGGCAAAGCAAATTGATTTATGGATGCGTGGTGGTTTTAGTTCGATAGGTTTTGAATGTCTTATTAAGTCTTGTTATATCTACTATTATATTGGTCGAGCTTTTTATTGCTGCCTTGAACCTAAACTAGGCTTTTTGTTCAACTCGAACTTTTAGAAAATACCATTGGAAAAACGTTATCATTTGAATAAATTCTTTAGCTTTGGAATTTTGAAGCTGTTATTTTGCTCTTAACTTGGAAATGAATTTTACTATTGGTTTTGAAAATGAGTCAATCTAGAAATGTGAGGCTTCATATCTCATCTGGTATGATGGAGTGGTTAATAAGGTATGAATGTTAGACTAATATTTTAAATGTAATACAACTCCAATTTTGTCCAAGTTATTCTATCACTATCTTAGGTGAAAATTTCGTCGTTAACTATGAAAATCATAAGATAATCTCACCACTATTTGTGAAAGCCAGTCTAGAATACACGCAAAGTTACATCGATGCATATTGACCCCTTTAATTCTTATTTAACGTATAATGAGTTTGTAAAATTTTGCTCCCCTAATGAAAATTTTGCAATTCGCTTGAACAAGATTCTTATTGATGTTACCCAAAAATGAAAAGAATGAGTGTACAAAAGCAATATTAAGTAGTGTTAATTCATGCACAACAGAAGTGATCATCTGCCTTCATCAATAGATGAAATAGACATGGAATTTCTTGAATAATCCTCCACGAAACTACTAGCAGCAGAAGCTTTGGTAACGACAGTTTGTGTACTAGGATTTGTATTGGTGAAAGCTGAAGTAGAGGTAGTCGTCCAACGTGCTCCTCGACCTTGAATTCCTGGTTTCCCAGGTCGCGGCAATGTGAACGAGTCACTGGAAAGCATGAGATGAATAGTGTTCATATCAGGCCTTTCTGGAACACTCGCTTGGCAACATAACAACCCCAACTGAATGCACATAGCTGCCTCATCTGCATTGCATTTTGTAAGGCTTTGATCAACTAATTCTAAAATCTTCCCTTCTTGATAAAGCAACCATGCCTGTTGTAGAGATACTTGTTTAGTTAATTTATACCTTTTCTAAAGGAACCTCATATAATAACTACAAGGTCAAGAGCATTCTGCAAAATAGTACTTTCCAGTCTCGACTCATTTCAGTAGTTGGAGGTTTATAATGACTGGTGGAACAATCATGAGAAGGTAACTTACATATCCCAAGAGGTCGGCCTTTTGTACGCCGAGCCGACTTCCTTCCACTAACAATCTCTAATACCAAGATGCCAAAACTGAAAACATCACTCTTCACAGACAAATATCCATGAATTGCATATTCGGGTGCCATATAGCCACTGCATCCATCAAAATTTATAAAAATTTTGAGTTCCAGAAAAATACCAATCAGTAGAAGGATGAATTAACTCAATTTAGGAATCAGGTAATATTTGCAGATTCGTGTAGTAAAATTTACTTACTGAGTACCGGCGATCTTAAATGTATTCAAATGGGTGTCATCCCCGGGAAAAAGTCGCGCCAATCCGAAATCTGAGATTTTTGGATTCAATTGATCGTCTAGTAATATGTTACTGGCTTTGACATCTCTATGTATAATTCTTGCAGGAGCCTCTTCATGCAAGTAGAGAAGACCTCTCACAATACCAGCAATTATATGGAACCGTGTTGTCCAATCTAGGGATGGTGATTTATTTTTATCTGTCATAAAGTCAATTTAATTATGATTTACTCCCATTTTGCAAGAAGAAGTTAAATTATCACCAACTGCAATAAAGTACATATAAATATCTACATTACGATAAGCAAAATTTAAGGATTCTTACCGAAGAGAAAGTAATCAAGGCTTTTGTTTGGTAGGTACTCATATACAAGCATCTTTTCAGGTCCTTCAATGCAACAGCCCAACAAAATAACCAAATTTCTGTGCTGAATTCTCAGTAGAAGTTTCACTTCATTACTAAATTGCCTCACTCCTTGTCTTGAATCTACTGATAGCTTCTTGACTGCTACTTGTTGCCCATTTGGCATTAACCCCTGTACATTTAGCAGTTCTACATTCATTAGACCACCATCTCTAAACTTTCTCTCAACCAAAAGCAGGGAAAAGAGTGATTTTGGAATCGGGAAGTATCCAAGTCAGAGCGTAAAGAGCAGCTGCTTAAAACTTCATCATTTTCCCAAATATAAAAGGGCTTCAGGTCAACATGACAGAGAATCATTAGAGAACTTTTAGGACCTAATATGTGTTTCAGCTAACTTTTCATCATCTGGGCTTTCAACAAAAAATATTGATGGGTAACATTCTATCCATCCTGATTTTTGAGGATTTTCACATACAAAATAACTGAAAATATCTTTGTTCATTGGGCTAGAATTAACAATCAACAGACTTGTAAGATATTAATATCTCAGATAACTTGCGAATATTTTAGACCAGGTGGGAAGGCAGTCCTGAGGGGTCATAAACAACGCCGGAAACTTGGCCTTTTAATCACTATGTGCAACTATCCAAGTCATATTCAAACCTATTGTGATAGTTCATTGAATTGTGTCATGAACATTCATCTTCACAGTTAAGGGAAATAAGTGCACATATACTAAATTGACCTAAAAAGGTTCCCAAAAGCGAGTTGCGAGTAATTGCCCTTATGTAAAGAACGAATTCAGAATTATACCTCCTACAAAAAGAAAAAAAAATCAGAACCACCCAGATAATATCGTTAGGGGTAAGAATTTTAGTAACCTGTCCTGCATTGAAAGAGAGCAAATTTCAAGACTTCCTTTTATAGGAAAAAGAAAGATTTTAAGACAATTTTAGCAGCAGTGCAGTGATCGTCTTCCTGTATCCCATCAAAGATGAGGCTCAAAGCAGGGTGGATCTACACTTGGAGCACTAATGAATAGTATTAATGCAATCTGTTGACATATGTTCATTAATAGTGCAATCTATCGCATGTACAAGTTTGCACCCTTGACTAGGATGTCTACTGTAAGGATTCATTGCCGTGGAGTTCGGTTCAATCAGCTTTCCACTACCCTCTCTAGTTGAGTGAGTGACTAGTGAGTGGCCTTTGAGTTATCTTGGACTACCCCTCAGTGGCAATCTGAAATAATTGGTGCTTTGTGATCCATGTAACTTAGAAGGTAAAGAGAATGCTTGATAGATGGAAGAAGGCATGCATTTGTAAAAGCGAAGGTTGATTCTTACAGAGATTTTTTCCCGTCCCTATTTATTTATTTTTAGGTAATAAACAAGTTCGTTTATGAATCAAATATACAAATGGTAGGTAAGCTTTTACACATAAAACTAAGGGCGTTTAGAAAAATATTGAGGAAGCTAGCAATCTTGTGCATCGGAAGATCACCGATTCACCAGCCATGGACCTTTATTTCCACTCTTTCAAAGTTTAGGAACATGAGAGAGGAGGAAATAGAGAGCACCCTTATTGCCAAATAAGGACTTATCCTGTTGGTCCACGTTTACCTTTTAGACATGGGCAATGAAAATTTTCTTTTGGAAAAACTTAATGTGAACGATGGTATTCAGAAAAGGCATCCTATGATGCCTTACCATCAAGGATATGTCATGTGCAATAGAGAGGATACAGGCATCAATATCTTAACATCCGTTGCTTTTCTAGAAGAACCATTTGGGAGAAATTTTAAACTTTCCCTTCCCTTGGAACCTATACTGTTCTTAAATAATAAAGTTTGAACCAACTTTCCATTTTTTCTTTTTTATAATAATATTTTGGTTATTTAAGCACTGTTTTAAAGGAAAATTTTCAGTTTTTATTCTCAAGGAGGATGTTTTCTAAATTGGACGGTTTGTAAAGGTGCATTGTGCACTACAAATCTCTAATCACAAACCCGTGATTTTGGAAGGAAAAACACCATTGATTATTGGTTCTAAAAAAACATAAAAAGGACTTTAAAAATAGTTTACCATAAATGTTTTCAATTTTTTTAGTCTAAAACACATTTTATTTTCCAAAATAATTTCCAAACAGCTACTTAGTTTAGTCTTTCATTCTTTCTGAACCACTTATCTACAGTTCTTAATTTGGTCATATAATTCATTGTCAGTTTTTTACTTTACCATCTTGGCATGAAATGGGGAAACCAACGATTTGACTTTGAAGTCTGGAAACCGAAGAAAGGCTCCTAAGTTCTAAACATTCCCACGATCAGAGAGCAAGAACATAATTTTTTTTTTCTGAATTAAGACTTCATTAAGCAAGAACATAAAATTAAGACAGTCTTAAAATAAATTGGTAAAATATTAATAGCCAACACTAACTGAACACAGAAAAAAATCCGTTCAGATCCGAAATGTCATTTTCTAAGAACATTCTTTATTTAGTTAATTTAACGGTAGAATTGAACTTTAGCTCATTGATCCGAAGTGTTATGGTTATGATTAATTAAGAGGGAATGGATTTGAATCTCATGTTGGCCACCTCCTCTCATAGATATCAAAAAAAAAAACATTAATCGTAGAACTGGTCTGCAAATGTCATCCTACGCTCATTGCAAATATAATACATAAATAATCTTTATCATCAGAAAAATAATATTTATATCTGAAATGGTCGAAAATTTCCAAGTGAACCGTCAATGCCACGTTGACAGATTGCAATAGCTTTTATATTCGACCGCAAGTAATTTACTAGAGCCACTTGACTATGGAACTGATCCGAATCTCTAAATTAAAATAAAAAATAAAAAAAACTGATTCAAATGGATTGGGAGGAATTTCTGAGCCTGCATAATTATCATCGATGGGCTTCATCGACATCCATAATCATAACAGGAGGCTAGAGTTGCAACCAATCAACACTTCGAATATGAAAAATTCGAGACCATTTTACATCGGAAACAAGCAATTGGAAAGCACGGTTCGGGAGTAAATACTAAATATGTTCATCCGGGGTCGAGAAATAAGAAACATAGCAAAGATAATCAACATTCCAACTTCCAAGAATGCGCAACTATAATTAGGTCTAAACAGACGAAGCGTACCTTGTAGACCGGTCCAAACCCTCCATGTCCGAGCTTATTGGCCTCTGAGAAGTAATTGGTAGCAATTTGCAGAGCGCTGAGTTCAAAGAAGATGCCCGAGGACACATCTTCATCATCTGCTTCATCCGCACCTCCTGAATTAGCTGCTTTAAGTCTCTTCTGCAAGCAGGCACAGAGAGATGACAAAAGCCCCATCGAAAGCATCAAACAACGCCGCCGGCACTTCGGCGATTGCGCCGATGAGCTCGTTCCAGCCGCTTCTTCTTCTCGATCAGCTGGCTGCGAGCGCGGGCAAATTAAGCATCGATCGGTCAAGTTGACGCCAGAAGCGGAGAGCCAACGAGAAGATTGTACTGAATTAGAAGTTTCTCAGAGCACCCGCCCAACTGCTAATGGCTGCCTCGATATTAAGGCCCCAGAAGTCCCGGTTTAATTATTTATGTAAAATAATTTGTCCTTTTTTTTATTTTGTTTATTATTATTGTTATTTTTTTTTCTCATCGAACATAACTTGACTTGTGCTTTTTGACAGCCATTGGCCACCAAGGAGGTTGTCAAACGTAAAATACAACCGAGTCGGACAAAATAATAAATTAATAATGGTAGTTGGGTGACTTGGTAAATTTCGTGAAAGTATTTGTTTTCTAGAGGTAGTCAAACTTTACAAAAATAAAAATATAATGTAACATTAATAAGCGTTTTTCTTCTATGTCTGGTGATTGAGATACTAGTAGCATTTTTTTTTTGTATGAATTTACTTTGTTTCTTTTTTAATATTACAATTAGAAAAATGCTATGATCTTTAAATGAAATTGTCAAAGTCAGTATTATATGTATGATTCTTTAATTATCTAATTCGTTAATTTTGTATCCAATTAATTAAAGGATATTTGGTTAATTATATATATACCTCATCATCTTTGTATTTATTTGATACAATGCTCTAATAACTTTCACAGTTTAGTATAATAATATTCATTATCTTAACCACCTTCGTATTATTGCATCAAAGTGTGAATGAAGTTCCAATTCATCTTCTAACTAATGACGAATCAACTTGTGATTTTGCAATAATTGAAACTCAACTCGATTCCTTATCTCCTCGACCATTCAATTTGTCCAACAATTGTGTTAGTAACTTGACGATTAATTGACGTAAACAATTATATTTATTGGAGTAGGTCAACGTTAACTCCTCTCTCAATAAATAACTATTGGGAACGACAAAACAAACACAAGTAGCATCATTTTATTATTGATTACATTTTAATGGTTTAACGAAAACGTTTTATTTATGTTTTAATTAATTAAAACGTTACAAAATAATAATAAAACATTAAAATATAAACAATAATAAAATGACATAACTTATTTTTGTTTTGTGATTCCCAAAAATAAGATTTATTGATGGTACGATCAAGAAACCAGATAACAACATGCTTGTAGTATGAAAGCATAGCCAATTAAACGATCATCTAACTAGTCTAATACAAAGTTAACAAACTACAGTTTACTTCTTTTTCAATCAGACTAATACGATTAATTGAAGATTAATACATACACTTTTTAAATGTGAAATTGACTAATTGATCAAAGTATAAAATGTAATAATCAACCGACTTTTTCGTAACTACATCAGTTACACATTTGCAAATAGGCTATATGGGTAACTTTAATCGTGGGAAAAAAACCAGCATAAATATAGCTTAAGATTTAATTACTGATGCAAGTATTTTTACCTCATATATGTGATATAATATTTAAAAAGAAAATAACTCGTAAATCAGGTTCTTGCCCAAATAGACCTTCGTAAATGTCAAATAAATGGCGGCGAGGGACAGGTCAAAAATCTACCAAACGCGGGCAGGTATTTATGCAAGTGACCCAAAACAGTGCCATTTTTCCAAATGAAATTTCACCACGTTGTCAAGTATAGGGTCAATTCCGGAAGTTTCTCGTGACATTTATCGGAAAGCCGTGGAACACGGACTCTCAGCACCTGCTTTTAATTAATCGAAGACCATCAACAAACCGCACACAAACAAATATTTCCTTTTCTTTTATCAATATTCTTAATAAATTAATATATTTTTTAAGTATTAAAATGAAATATCTTTAAAATGTATTAATAAATTCAAATTCAAAACAAGAGTAAACGTTCCTAAACCGAACTAAAGTTAAATATTGGTCACTTTGAAAATTTTGCGCCGGCAGGAAATGTAGGATTTTTTTAGTGCAAAAGAAATTTAGGATTTTAAAGAGAGGAAATAAATTTTTTTATTCAACCGAAATATTGAATTTCATTTGTTAACTAAATATCACCCAAAGTATTGCATAAACCGAGAGGAAACCATACTATAGACTATTTTAACTCATGAATTTTGCTTAATTAGTCAAAGTATCTATCTTCGACAACAAAAAAATTTCTATCATCTATTCCCACGTATTGTTATACTAAAAAAATTATTCTATTGTCATTAGATTATAAATTTTAAGAAGATAAATTGGAGTACTTTTTATGTTATTTATGTAAATATTTAGACGAGAATAAAGCCCTATCCGTATCATCTCAAATAGAAGCTCCATCTATTAAAATAAGATGAACAATTTTACCAATAATTTCTTTTTCTAAATAATATTTTAATTACTTTCCGAATCAAGAAAGAGGAATAGGGAAGTAAATGGTTGCACGTAGAGCTTATGAGAATTAGGGAAGTGAGAATTGGGAGTTCAGTATTGGCTGGCCTCTCTGGCCATACTCTTTTGTTTGAGTTATGAAGTATTTTCTTTAGAAAAAAAAAACTACTTCTTTTATAAGTAATATTTTAATTATTCTCAGAAAGAGGGATAAATTATACCTAAAGAAAAACAGCTTAAAATATTTTATTTTATATACGGCAGAGATTTCAACTTCCGATAAAAAAAATATATGCTTTAATCATTTAATCCAATTCAGCATATTTTCTCTCTTTTTAAATACAAACACAAACTAATTTGCCTTCTCATTGGAGGTAAAGGACCCCACTTTATTAATTAAAAAAAAAAAAACTTTATTCAATTTCCAAAATTACCCTCACAAAAAAGCTGAAATGACCTCCTTGCTTGTGCAACTGTGATATGTTCTTCTATTCTGTCCGCCACGCCTGACGCCCGTATCCACCATTGAAGATCATCGCAAGTCTTTGCTGTGAAGCTTACTGATGGGAGTAACGATCTAGGTTTTCAGATCGAAGGAAATGTTTATCTTTATCTCGAAAGGAAAGCGAAGCTGACAAGACTTCTCTTCAAAAGAAAACAGAATGAGATCATCTTCGGAGAGAATTAACATCGCCGCCAGTACCCGGAGGCTCGATGTTGACAATCGATTTCCTCTTCGTTATTACTATCGAGTCGCCGATAATATTTTGAAACAGGTGACTCCGCCTCTTGAATTTCGCGTTCTAATTTTGCCCACCAACGTGAAATTGAGATTTTTTTGACGAGCGTTGAATTTGGGAGGGCTTATAAATGCATATTCTTTCCTTTTATAAATAATAGATTATCTCGGGAATTCGATCTTGTAGTTTTCTCGCATGGATTATAGCTGCATTAAGTCGAGTAACGCAACGGGGGCTGTTGGAAATATTTTTGTAAAAGATTATCACAAAAGATTGACGAAGTGTCCAGGAAACCAATCGATATTCTTTATACTGGGCGTCAACAAATATACCAATGTTCTTCACAGTCAATAAACAAAAAACTACGATATATGTAGAAAATTTTATGGTTATGCGGGACGCTATAAAAGTGTATTGGACGAGTCTCTAAGCAGATTGAAGTTATGCGTGCAAAGCTTCGCTAACTTTTGATTTCAAAAAGAGCATATTTGTTTTTAAGTTAGAAATGGGTGTTTAGCACGGGGGAGCTGGTTTGCTTTTAAGTCGTTTAATCGAATGTGTAGTTTTCTCGCCTGTTAGACTTCACGTTCCTCACTGCCTAACACAATTTACATTTCAGGCTGACATCTTTCGAGCAGAGAAGAACATAATTGATCTTTATGTCATGTTAATGAGATTTTCCAGGTAAGAACCTAAAATTAATGTCATCGAGTTCTAAAGAAACTATAATTTAACAGTTAAGTGCACTTGTGTAATTGAGATTTATGTCTTCTGTATTTGTACTTGGTATTTTTAAAAATTAACAGAATTGATTCAGCCAGTATGTTTGAGTTAGTTTGTAACTAGCTTCTTAATCATTATGTAGTCCTATAAGTATGTTAGTACCTGATCTACTTTTCAGTTCAAGAAATGAAAGATTAATTGATATCCATTATTTGTCTTTTTTGTTTGTGGGTATGTAGTTTGTGATTTATATATTGAAATTTACGGAAGCCGTCTTTCTTTAACCGCCATTCAGATTAGATAACGTTAGGTGTTCCATTCAAGATCAAGAATAACCCTAAATACATTTGGTTTTTTCATGCTTCAGTTTGGTCACCGAGACTATACCTCGCCATCGGGAGCATGGAACAACTCCTAAATACCAAAAAAACTATTTTAGAAAGGTAAATGACGCCTTTGGTGCAACTAATAAGCATTAAATTTGTGTTGCTGCATTTTATCCACTTTGTTTGTTCGGCAGAGGCTATTGAACGCTTTGAGCGAGCTTGAAGAATTGAAGCCAGCAGTTCAAAGAAAGGTGGATGAAATAAATGGAAAACAAAAACATCAAGTTAATGGGCGGGGTAATCAGCATCACAATGGTTCACGTTCATTGGAATGGGATTCTGGTGGAAAGCAATGGCTTACTTATAATGGTACAGCTAAGGTATAGTCGTGTTGTTACATAAATTTACTTTTCCTTTCAAGAACCTGACCATTGCCATTTTTAACACAACTGTTATTTATACTCCATGAAAAAATATAAGAAATTTGGTTTCTATATGCTGTCTTTTCTCTGACAGGATGGTAGATCAGCCGCTAGAGAAATTGCTCGTCAGGGTTCAGGGCCTCAACAATTTTCATATTCCAGGTCCGTGGATGAGAAGTTCTCCAGTTTGTGCATGTCTATAATCTAGATGTTTTCAAATTCTTCATTATAATATTGAACAAGCTTACAATAGATAGCATCCGTTATTTTAAGCATGCAAGTATGGCAGAATTATTTATGCTTTTTTTGGAAGCTACATTAAGCTCACAGTTCTAGTCTTGTTAACGAATATGGGTGATGTTGATACTATACGAATCTTTGTTGTCCTCATTCCTCATGCTTGTATCCTTGTAGACCTATTCATATCCCACTTCCCAAGGAGGAAACATTATCCCGTCATTCTATTTTGGGTCCCAATGGGCTTCATGGCCAGTGGCAACCACCTATCGTTGATAAAGGGGTATTTTCATACTTGGTAATTTTTTTTTGTGGTTTCCTTAGAAACACACTGATAGACATTGTCAATGTAGGTTCAATATCCACGTATTTTGGATCTGTCTCCTATTGAAATTCCGAGGTTTGTCTTCTAATTGAGTTTCTAAAAGGTCCAACCTGCAACTACATGTAATCCTTACAATGTGCTCAAGTCATCACCCATTAGGGCTACATGTTCAATCAAGTTCTTGCAGTTTCCAGTACTGCCTCCATGCTTTTTATTATGAAGATTTTATTGCCATGATATCTTTATTTCCTAAAGAAGGAGTTTTCCTCTACTGATTTGTTTGTAACCTTTTTTTCGCCCCATTTCCCACATAAACAGCTTACAACAATCAAAAGAAACCAAACTTACAATAGAAAAAGATCTTGGAAATGTGGAAAAAGAACGATCTGATACAGATTCAATATGCACCCAGAATGAGGATCCTCAGATACATAATGCTATGGAAAGAGGTTCCTTGATCTCCTTTGAAAAAGTTGAAATGCATGCCCCTATTGAAATTGTGAGACAGCCTTCTCCTCCACCTGTACTTGCTGAAGTACAGGATCTGATACCTGCAATGTCACCTCAAGTTCCTGAGGTAGAATGTGCACGAGGCATTTCATTGTCAGATGGTTTTGTTCATCCAGAGGCTTCTATGCAATTGCACATTGTGAGTTTTCTGACCTTCGTTTGTTGGTTCACTTTATATGCCTTCTATTTTCCAGTTCTTTCAGGAATAGCAGGCAAGTCCTGAAAAGAACCAGCCATAAAGATAGCAAGTCTTATCTGTTATTTGTTAGATTATGTGCATATGAGTACATCATCTTTTGCTGAATATTTGGAAAATTTAGGGGCATTTTGCCTGGATGGACGTTTTAGATTGTCTTTCATTCTAGCAATTTCGCCTTTTGCAGTCAACCACGATGATGGACGGCTTCATGAGGCTAGCCAAGTCAAATACTGCCAAGAATTTAGAAACTTGTGGTGTTCTTGCTGGTTCACTTGTATGTTTTACTATTTTTCACCCTGCATATTTTTACAATTCTTATCATTATTGGCTGTTCATTTGCAACTCTTGATCAAAGTTCAACTAATGACTCTTTTTGCAGAAAAACAGAAAATTTTATGTTACTGCACTCATTGTACCAAAGCAGGAATCGACATCTGATACTGTATGTCTATGTGATGTCTGTTGTTAGATACTAGTTAATTTACATTTCATTCATCCAAGGAGTATAGATTATTAAAATATTAATCATCTGATCATCAGTGTCAGACGACCAATGAGGAAGAGATATTTGAAGTGCAGGATAAGCGATCTTTATTCCCACTTGGGTGGATTCATGTAAGAATTCTGGTTTCATATTGTAGTTTATTGTATTATCATCACTTGGTACTTATTTAGTAGCACGTCTTTTAGGTCTTCTTCCGCAGTATTTTTTATGAACTCTTCGTTGGATTGAAATTCATTTCCAAGTTCCAAACTATAGACTTATTTCCTTTCAAACATGGCACTTTCTTAAAATAGGCTGTAAACCATGATAACAACTGTTCTAAAAACAACACTTCTATATATTATTCTTATCGGTTGAATAGGAGAGAGAAAAGGATTCAACCCTTGAAACCTAGAAAGTACATTCTGCATTCCAATAGTCCAAATGCTTCTCATTCTATTTTCTGCGAGAACATAGAATCTAGGATAATAGAGGCACAAAAGGAGACTCGTCTATCCAATCATCTTCCCAAAATCTAATAGAAGCTCAATGTGAGGTATATCCTCACTATGAACTTCATTATTTGATTGAAAACAAAGAGAGCCTGTAAGCTTTAGACAGCAAACCCACCAATTCGAGAGGGTGGGGAATCTCTCCTACCTTCCTTCTATGCTCTAGGCACTGAATTCTAGACTACCCTTCCTAACCAATCCTCCTATTTATTCTCACATACACATGGCTAAGGCCTATTATTTCTCTCTCCTGGCCATTATGGCCCTAATTTCCCTTCTTGCCCTTCCTGCTATACGTCATCACAATAGGGGGCCTAACACTCTATTCTTACCTTAAAAAATGATTTCTCCATAATTTTTCCATGGAAATTTGAGATAGAAAACCAAGAATTCTTTTGATGTTGGTCTCCCCTTTGGGAGTTGATGATGTTTGATTTAGCGCAAAAGACAGGCAGAAAACTGACAAATGTTTTAGTATTATACATCAATTGCTACTGACATTCCACTCCGAGGAAAATCATTTTAGGTGCAATAAAGATTTGGTGTTTCAAACTCAAATCATGTTCTGTTAAGGAATATCCAATTAGACTGCTCGTACATGACTGAGTGCCTGTTTGTTTTGTTTGTTTCGGACATGTATATCGATTTTCAATGCTAATGTTTCTTAATCTGTTTTCAACGTCTTAATAGTTGATAATATGTGTATGAATTGTGATATTTATGGCTATTATATATATATATATCTTATTTCATTGTTCCTATTGTGTAATTTCCAGACGCATCCTTCACAGTCATGCTTCATGTCGTCGGTTGATGTGCACACACATTACTCATATCAGGTATCTCATTTTCTGCAAAACATAAGTTAACATGTTGGATGTGGAGGAATACTTCACAAATTGAAACTTTACTTCCCTGTTGCATGAACTATCACTATTATAGTTTGTAAGAAATGGAATTGGGTTTGCTATGGAACGTTATAGCTCCCGGTCAACCTTTCCAACTATTGTTTTAACTTTCTTTGTCACTCTAGACACAGATGAGGGGTAGAGAATTTTTTCTTTTAGAGGGAAGTTCGGTCCCTATTCCCCTGCCCATGCCCTCATGCTCTCTCAGGAAATTTTCTCAAGTTCCCTTGCCCGTTATCTTGTTTGTCTTATCTGGGGTAACTTTTCCTCTGGTGAGGGGAAAAAGGGAAGAGGAATGGGTGATACTCCGACTTGAATCAGGAGATATTTGAGGGAAGAGAGAGGAGGACTAGGAGGGGCGGGGTCATTGTGGAAAAGGATGTTTCTAAGGAGGAGATAGACTTGGCGCAGGATGAACAAGAAAATAAAAATTTGCATATGCAAAGTCGCTAGAAACTTAAAGGAGTGAGGGTACTGTTTGGTTCTCGCAAATACTTGGACCTTACAGTACAGTTATTTTAAAATCATATGAAACTATACAAATTTGTTTCTTCATTTCTTCCTATCTTTTAAGGTTTTAAGCTGTTGCTCATGAAGCTAATGTAGACCTTAATTTGCAGGTTATGTTGCCCGAAGCTGTTGCTATTGTGATGGCTCCCAAAGATAGTGCAAGGTATGATCATAAACCAGACTCATCGCTTAGATAGGATTTCATTAATAGTTACGATTATGTTGGAACAGTCTTAACATATTCTTTCTAAGAATATCCACCCTGATATGAACAGAACCCATGGCATTTTCCGGTTGACAACCCCGGGTGGCATGTCAGTTATTCGGCAATGCCAACAACGTGGCTTTCACCCGCATGGTCAGCCTCCTGATGGCGGACCCATTTACAAAACCTGTACAGATGTATACATGGACCCCAATTTGAAATTTGATGTCATCGATCTTCGGTGACCACTACCATTGGATTCAAACTGGTAATTTTGTGGCATTGAAACAACCTAATTGTTCGTACAGATCTTAAGTTCTACCACTAGAGGCTAGCTCCTTTAACTTTGTTCATACATACGCTTCACCTCCAGAGGTAATGTTGGTCAATCTTCTTTTAGCTCGAGCTTTTGTGTACCAAGTAATTTCCGAATACTGAAAGAAAGAGATCTCATCCAAACGTTATTTCTTGTACAGACATGTTTGCATTGTCTTGATGAGGAAGTCTATACCTTACAATGACTTTAGGAAATATGTTGAGGAAAGGAAACGACTCATGTTAATTGTTAGCAAATGATGTATAGATATTGAGATTCCTTTTGATATGCTGACTGTAAACATTGTTAGTTCATTTCATTTTTGCTTAAGATCGCCTTTTCTGCTTCTTTATTTCTTATTCTATTGAGAATATCGACATTTTGATGATCATCTTTTCGGTGTTTGAATTGTCAAATTCTTGTACAATCTCTCTGAAAGATGTATGAATCTGTGGGGATTGGAAAAAGGATAGTGAAAAGATGGAAGGCAGCAAAAGAGAGGAGGGGTTGAGTTGGAGCTATCTTTAACACTTCAACTTTGCACCTTTGTGGAAGATGTGGTTCTAAAACGGGAGTTTTGGCCTTTCATTTCTTTGCCAATCCTCAAGATACAGAGAAATCAGTGGAATCATTTCTTCGAATCTCAATCTTAAGATTCAACTCTAAAGAATGTTTCGACTGAGCCATTCCAATCACATATTCGATATTGACAATACATTTCATTTTTTGAAAACTAACAAAAGCTGTTGAGTTTACAGTTGTTCCTTGTTCCATTTATTATAGAAGTTGTGGCATTTATAGGTAGCAAGTCTATTCATGCATCCAGTATCCTCAATTTAACCATCAATCTTGATTCACCTCAAGTGCCCTTTTAACTGAACTTATTGATTTTAGGGAGAGGGAGCTTTTCTAAATGTTTTGCACTATGTAAATTAATGGATTCTCAAGTTTTTTTCTTCGTCTTAATATTACAGCAATGAAGATTTGAACTAATAACCCGTCGAGGACAACCGAACCCACCGAATAAATTGTCTTATTATAATGTCGACTACAATTTCCTTCTCAATTGAATGATGATTTTGGTGTCGATCAGTAACTTCCAACCTTTGATTGTTTAGAAGAACTATGGAGATACGAGATACATTAATTTCAAGACATATTGGCCTTGTTTTGTTCTTCAACCCCACCCCACTCCATCAGAGAGAGAGCTTTCTTTTTCATTTCAACCCCCCCTCTCTCTCAAAGAGGGACATGTCAAAGTTTTAACCAAACTAGCTTTTTTGGGTAATTGCCAAACTCTTTCCTCCCACATTGAAACAGGCATGACATGTCAAAAATGGTACTGTACTCCACCAACATTGTTGAATGATTCAACATGAAAGGTTACAGGTTGTTCTGGAGATGAAGGCAGTGATAGAACCCTCTTAAGATGGGTCTCTTGCTGCCACCATAACCACCAAAACAGCACACTCCCAACACAACACATCAGTTAAGGTTCACTCACAGTCACTGTTTTTTTTTTCCCCCTCACTTTCTGCTCTTCATGTTCATGTCCTCTTCAATCATTGCCCTCTGAGCCCATCCTGTTATTCTCTATGACATGACAACAAGATGAGGGTGGCTGTTGGGTGGTGGGTTACAGTGTTGCATCTGAGGACTGTTTGGTCATTTACCTTTTCCCCCTTTTTCCCCTCAAACCAGATTGCTCAAATGGCAAGTTGCTAGAGATCGTCTTTCATCTTCTCCACTGGACCCTACTTCCCATCATTCTCCAACTCACTCAACTCAGATTGTTTTTTACTTTATACCCATTTTCCATGGCTTCATTTGTGTAACAAAGATCAGATCTTTTTAGTGTCAATATGTAGCCATTGGAGAGCTTTTTGACATGAAAGTGGAAATTTTTTTTAATGCTTTAGGACAAAGGAATAGAGAAAAATCCTCAAGGGAAAGGGAAAAAAAGTGAATGTTGGCTTGACTTGAAGCATTCTCCATTTTTATCATTTTTTCATGCTGTAGCTTCTGTCTCAAATAAGCATATTCTAGTGGAGACTGAAATAATAGTAAAAGAACTATGAAAAATGTACTTGTCAAAATCTAAACAAGTACATTTTTGCATATTACTCAATTTCTTCATTAATCAAACATATAACAACTCCTAGGAAATCTAGAAGTAAGTTTAAATAATACCAAATCCCCCAACTGCTCTTCTTCAAAAATTATCAGCTTTGAGAAATTTCTTCCTTAAAGTACACATTTCTAATCCAAGAAGGAAAAGTTCAACTATTTGAAAATAGCACATTCTATAACAGTTGGTGGAAAGAGGTGGTTTGTTACATCTGAAAATTGTAGATCGCTGCTATGAACAGAACCAATCCACTGCTTACACGTCGTGTTTATTAAGTTGTCTATGACCAATCTAAGAATTTCCTATTAGAAGTATAGATACATTATTATCTTTTACTTTGTGCCCATTATGAGAGAAATTAGCTTGGAGTCGTTGATAAGTTTCTCTCAGCTGATTCAACACGGTAATTTTCTTTAACCTTTGATAATGAAAATAATAATAATAAGAATGATGATGATAATAATGTTCAAACAAGCTACCTAATGTTTACAAATTTAGAAAAGATAATAAAGATTTAATATAACGTTGATTATTATTTGCAAATATTAACAATGTCTTAAGATTACTATTTTCCCCTTGAATGATGTAAATTCTGAGTTGGAAAATGAAAACAAGGACTTTTTCTACAGTTTCTTCAAAAAGATGTGGACAGCCTTTGGATTACAGTCAAGTAAGCACAATTGGCAGATGCTGAATTTTGGTCTTTAATACAATATAAAAACTCTAACCATTTCCATTTCCATTTACTTACCATCACGTTCTTCTTTTAAAATGGCCAAAGTCTTGAATCCATCTTCTACTCAAAAGCCAATTCTTGGATTTCCCTTCTTTCTCACTCCTCTATTATTTTCTCTCTGCAACTGCTCACTTGGGTGCCTCTTTTTTCCTTCCTTTGCTTCTCTCTGATGCTATATCTTTAAGCTTCCTTACCCTCTCTATTTCTCTCTCTCTGGGTCTGATATGAACTTTTGGGGTTCCATTTTTGCATCTACTCTATTAGTTTGAACCTTAAAAACTGCGGAAAACAACAAATTTTCCCTGATATTCTTGACTGATATGAGCTATTCTTGTCTCACTCTTGAGTTTCCTCTTCTCTCTCTGACATAGCAGATTCCTTCTCCTTCATTTACTCTGTAGAATTAGGACATTGAGGCGCTGAATCTGGGGTTTTTCTTGGACTCCATCTCTATCTTCCTTGAAACCTGTGAAAGGAAAAATCCTTGTTTTTGTTCTTTTTCCTGTCTTCTGAACTAAAGTTCCATTATTTTATTTTTACCTCTACTTTTTTGACTTTCTTAGCTAGCCCTCACCCATTTTGTCAATTACCAAGCTTTTTCTCACCCTGCTTGAGATCTCATTTTTCTTATCTTTCTCAAGTTGTTGGGTTGTTCTTCCTTGACTTCCACAACCTCCCATTCCTGCAAAAATTTCCTGTTTTTCCTCTGTTTCATAGTCAGAAATTGGAAGCAGTTTAAAGGTGGTGGAGTGGCGGACATCATGTGCTCTGAAACAAGCTCGCCGAGAATATCGTTTTCCCACGATCTCCCCGGCGATGGCAGCCCTCCCGTCGACCAGCATAGGCGGCGGGACTTAACATTGTTGGATTCAAATCTGGAGTTTGAGTTCAGCATTAGCATTGAGCATGAATCTTCTTCCTCTGCAGATGAGTTGTTTAGCAATGGAATCATCCTTCCCATCAAAATTCAATCCCACAAACAATCTAGTCCTTCTGAACCTCCATTCAGAGCTTCACTCCCTCCTCTTGCTCCCACAGGGAATGCAAAGGAAGCAATGAAACAAATCACAGTGGTGAAGAATTCAGCTTCTTCAGATCAGTTTGAACAGAGAGCTTCAGAGTCCAAATCCTTTTGGGGATTCAAAAGAAGTAGCAGTCTCAACTTTGAAAGTAAAAGAAGCTCTCTTTGCCCTCTCCCACTTCTATCACGCAGCAATTCAACTGGGTCAGTGCCAAATCCCAAGTCCAAAAAGTCTAAAGATTCACAAAAGCAAATATCTCAGAAACAGCACTCAACATCGATGAGAAAGTTATCGCCTTCGTCGTCGTCGTCTTTTAATCAATATGCAATAAATCTAAAGCCTCAAATGAACAAGACTCAAGGAGGAGTTTATGGCAATTATCATTGCATTGGCCCTGTGTTGAATGTGCCTCCAAAGTTCTTTGGTTTGGGTTCACTTCTGCGATGTGGGAAAGATAGAAAGAGTAAGACATGATTTGTTCATCATTTTTTATTTGATATTTCTTTCTTTTTCTGTGAGTTTAATCTGTGGATTTGCCAGGGAATTATTATAGTTTTGTTGTCAGGTTCTATGGTGATTTTCGTGGGAAATTATAATCAACATGTAGGGCCTTGTATGTAGACAAAAGCTATCCTAAAGAAGAAAATAACACATTTTCCTTTTTTGAATTCTCTTCATCTGAAAGGATGCTTTACTTAAAATTTAAGGGAATTTAGATTTAGTCCTTGTCTACACTAGTTGATAGAGCCTTTTAAGATGTTTAATATAATAGAATTCTTAAATGTTTCTGTTTTGTATTTAATAGGTTACGTATTATAAAAAATGTCCAATAAATCTCTAAACTTTTAAATTTGTGTCGAATAAGTTCTTAACCTATTTAAAATTTTGAAAAATTAAAAGATTTTTCAAAGCAAATTTGAATTTTGTGTCTTATAAGATCTTAAACTTTCAATTTTGGGCCTAATAGATTCGTGAATTTTAAGAAAGGTTATGTCGGTCAATTACTTAATTAGGCAAATTGAAACTTAATGAACTTATAAAACATAAAATTAAAAATTTAGAGTTTTAATAGATATTTTCTCAAATTTAAGGACTAAACTTGTTCAGATTTAATCTTGTCTTGATCCACCACAAATGGTAAATTTGAAAAAAGAATCTCACTTGTCAAATTTTAAATTTAAAGGGTTAGTTTTAATGTAAAACAACCCAAGATAGTATTATTGATATCAAAGTAAAATTGTATGAATAAATTCAGCATTGAATATTAATATTAAATAAACTAAAAGATGTTATATCGATATCTATCTCCAACTATGATTATGAGTTCGAGTCGAGTATTTTTATTGTACTTAAAATAAATAAATAAATAAACTTTGAACATTTGACTCAACTTTCTAGATTTGAAACATTATTTTAAGTGGAACTTGATCTTTTTTTTTTCCTTTTGACGCACACTGATTTCTTGATTTGACTGCAAAAATTTTAAAATAAAAAGGGTAATACATGTTTTCACATTTGAACGCAGGATAGGGTCTAGGGAGGAGATGGAAAGAGTGGAACGAGGAGACCAATCTTTTCTTTCTTTGGATTAAAATATTATTTTCCTTATAATATGTCGGGGTGGGGATTCGAACTCATGACCACTTGAGCTATCTTCGATTTGACTTAAAAAGTGATAATTTAGTTATCCTTTCAAAATTTTAATACAAATTTTACACCAAACAAACTCTTTAATATATGTAAATTTTACATTTAAAAAAAATAAATTGATTGTAATGTCGTGTTAAAGTTGAAAATACAAAGATTATAACGAACATTTTTAAAATACAAACACTCAAATGAACGAATGTTAAAATAGATGAACCAGTATTTTAATTTTTTTTCTCCCAAAGTACTTTTGCATCTCACGGATTGTGGTATTTTGCTTATTATTTAAAGATTGGAAATTTAATTTTCATTGCCACATTTATTTTGAAACTAAATTTTTATTTGTTAAAATTATTTTTTTATTATTATGTTTTTGAGATAAAGTGATACTTCATTAAATTGAAATTTGGGCCCCACGGGCTACAGAGTTGCGACAATCCCTAATTGCCTCTTGCAGAAGAATTTAAAAATTGTCATTTTTTTTTGAAAAATAATTAAAAAATTGTCTTGAAACATGACTTTGCAGTTTGTCACATGATAATGACAGTGTGTCTTCAAAACACGATTTTGCCCACGATTTTTTTCGGATATTTTATAAATATAATATAATTATTTATTATTATTATTATATATTTATCTGATTATTTCCAATATTAATATTTGCATTTATCAGATAATAATTCAGAATTAAAAGAAAAACCTGGTTGAAATAAAACGAAACTGCAGAATGAAAATATATATATATAATTCAAAATAAATATATTTTAAAAATAAAATTAAAAAATAATAATATAAAAAAGTTTGATAGAGAAGAAGCTCAATAAAATAAACAAATACCTACATATATACACCCAATTTGAAATTGTTGGGTTAGAATAGTTTAATTAGTAACTTAATTTTCATGCCACTTTTCTTTAATTGAATTCAACCTAGAATAATTTAAGGTATATGTCATTGATAAGATATTTGAATCTCCATTCAACTCAAATAAAAAAACAAGACAAAAAGTAAAGAAAAAAAATCTGATGTTAAATATATTATTTAATACAAAAATTGTGGTAAATGACCCATCTTCAACAATAATGTATAAACTTTCTATAATTTGAAAAAATTTATAAATCCACTATTTTTTAGCCACTACATTCTACCTTTCTTTTAATTTTGCTATAAAAAATTTATCTTTCTTTTTCAAATAAAAAAAATCAGATATGAAAAAAAAAAAATAGAGCGTGAGATAGTAGGATCTAGACTAATTTGTAAATATTTTATTTTTATTTTTTTAAAAACATTTTCTTGAATCAAATTAGATATGTTTAAACTCCCACACTTCCTTAAAAAAAAAAAACAAAAAGACC